AAGCCTTGTGTGTCTTAGATTACTTAACTTGAATCATTCATTACAATTGTTCTGATATAGCTGTTCACCATGTCATACTAAATAGATCTAATTTCAGTTTAATATAGGGTGGCTCACTGAAACAATAATTCAATATTTGGACAGAAAAGGAAAAAAAAAATTTAAAAATTGAGAAGAACAATTTATCGATGAAAAATGAGACTACACGAAACAGACTGTCCAAATATGTTTTTGGTGCAAATCAAAACCAACATACTTGTCATCAATATTACTTCATCTAACAAAGTGGGCATATTATGGTGCACTTAGTTGTAGAATTTAGTTTAAAATTTCATTTTATTTATTGCCTCTTTTTTCTTTTTAATAGACAGAGAGGACCCAGAAGTAGAGACGTTCTTTTTTACTATTATTAAAATCAGAAATAAATACAACAGTTAAATAACTATTTTTATATTTTTTCCTGAAAATTTGCATGGCACCAAAGCTGAATTGTTGCATTTTCTCATTTCAAAAATGGTCTTTGCATAAAATAATGAACAGCATTTGAATATCTGAATCACAAGCCTATTTCCAACTGCTCCTGAAAAGGAGTCCAGCCTTTTAAGAGACCTTTTTTTTTAATGAACAGATTGGTACATGGTGTGCTACTTCTTTTAAATAAAAAAGAGGGGGAAAAAAGAAAAAAATGCTATTTCTAACACTGTCTGCACTATTGTAATGTTTGGATTTAGTTGTGCCAGGTGATATGGGGGCACAATATGAATGTGAAGTTCTTTGTTTTCCCTGAACTTGCAAGTGATTCCTGGGCTCTGTGTGGTGTGAGTGGCAGTTCTAATGGCCCTGTGCACTGTAATCATCTCAGGATCATTACAAAATGCAGCAAACAAGCCCTTACTTGAGTTGGATAAATGTACGAATCAACTTTAAATTTACAGAGTGTTTTAGCATAAGCTTTGCTAAGCCATTAAAATTCATTTTGAGCCCTCCCTCCATGCCTCATATTGATTTGGCTGTGCTAACACAAAAAGGAGTGGTCAATTTTTTTAAACCCCCTAAACAAAAGCCTACTTCTCTTCTCCTCAGCTTTTCCTCCTCTTGTCCTCTCTCTTCTTTGTTCCCCCTTGTCTCTGTTGTCCCTGTAGGACGTGCAGTGTTTTAATGCCCTTGCACTGCCCACAGTTGCACTTAGGCTCTCATTGCCCCAGCCAAAGTCATGGGCAGGTACACAGTTGCTTTACAGAACCACAATAAATCTTATCCTTGATGAATTGTGAGTCAGAAGTGTGCCCTAAGTTACACATATGTAATTTGGGGCTGATGGGATCTGTGTACATCAGCAGCGAATACAGCCTGAGCTATTTATTGCTTTAGATTGACTGCTATGGTAGGTCCAGATCAACTGAGACTCTATTCCTGTGAAACTTGGCCAGCCCTTTAGCAGGCCATTATAAATAATAAATATTTTCTGAATAAACACCTTTCTCAGAAAGTTAGTCAGAGCTCCTGTGTTTCTGAAATAATGAAACCAAAACTAGCTGAGAAAAACAGCCACTTGTTAGTGCTTGTACTGCTCTGTAGTGTAAGTGGGTCAGAATGAGCTGTATTCGTTAAATCCTTTGAAACAAAAGAAATTATTAAATCAGTTACGATTTAGGTCAATGACTCAAAATAAATCATTCACAGAGTGCCCTTGAGACAGGCAAGTCAAAGAGTATCAGGGGTTCTGAACTCAAATTGCATCTCACCATTATTCTCTAAGCAAAGCTATCCCACCTTACCTTTCCAGGAATACAGTGCATAAATATTTCACTGTCTAACAGGAAAGGTGTTTAGCACTGAATTGAATCAGTATTTAATCTATTTACCATAAGAATGAAAAAAAAGTGAAACAGCTTTTCTAGGAGTGTTTCACAACTTAATTCACTGTGTTTTAAGCCTTATACGGTGATACCATTATTTAAATTTTGAGAATAGTTTGAGCATGATGCTCTGGAACTGGTTTCTGCCTGGCTGCTTTAAGTTCAAATAAATTTCCAAAGCACAGGTGAGGAGGAGAGAAGTATCTCTGAGAGTATTTTGCTGTGTTCAGGTAGACGTATTTAGTCTCAGATGCTTGGGATTTGTCCTCAAGTAATGGAACAATAAGGAAAACAAAAAATAAAACTACTCTAATAAATATGAAAATGACATTGAACAAAACTTCCAGTAAAAATGTTATAATTTTATCTATAGCATTTGAAGAACCTACTAACATGAGTAAAGTTCAAGAAATTTTTAATAGTCTGGTGTCATAAAAATCAAGTTATTCACCAAGTTATTCTGATGTCTGATTCTTGCAACAAGATTTTCCTTATGAAAGATCAAAGTAAAGATCTGGGGACATTTCTACCTTTATTTTCTTGTGTTAGCCACTTGGAGTTACTGTAGCACAGAGTTGTGCCTCATATTCTGCATGTGCAGATGACTGAGGAATATTTACAGGCACGATCAGCAGTGGAACACTGTCTTATCATTTCCTTTTATATTCGTATTTGTACGGGAATTGCACAAAACTCTAAAAAATAATGGTTATTGAGGGAACAATTTCAAAAACTCTTGTCTTCCTGAGAAGATGCTTTCATAAGCTAATGCCCTGGAAATACTCAGAAGTTTTATCTCAGTCAGAGTAAATCCTTCTTTTAACTACAGTAACAAGGAATTAAATGTTCTTTCAGAAACAATAGAAAACAGGCCAGACAGCTTTAAGTTTAGCAGTCATAAAAACAAAAAGCTGTTTGTTTATCTGAACTGACAGACAATATAGAATTCATAAGCAATGACAGGCTTTTGTGTTGAATAGCAGCATGAGGACTCCCAGAGAGTAACTGGCAGGTTTTGCTCAATGCTGTAGTGTCTATGTCTGTTTCTATGTTTATAATTGTGATATATTGATATCTGGATTTGATGAGAAAGTATTAAAATGCGATCAAAGAACAGGTATTGTTAATCTAAATTATTGGATATCTCCTGAAACTTCAAGAAAATCTGTGCCACCAGTGTTAAAATGCTTTACAGTTAACCTGCTTTCCAGTTCAATCAGTATTACAGCACCAAAGAATTGAAATAAAAAATTAAGATATGGAGGAGTCAGCTTAGCCACTACATGTTCAGAGAGCTGAGAAACAGGAATGTAGATTGAATCTTTCTTTCTCTTTAATCTGAAGTTATAAAACAAACCTAAATGGTTTCAAGTGCCAAATGTCTCTGCTTTTGTTTTGGCTTTTCTGTAGGTGTTGTTTTGTGACTTTTTTTCTCCTCTGAAATGTTAAAAATAAATGAAATAGAAGAAAAAAAGTAAGCATGTTTACAGTTCTTATTCCTCACAGATTGCAGAATACCTGTGGGTGGTTTAAAGCAGCTGTTTCTCGTGGTTACCTAACTTCTTTAAAATACAGAAAGGAAAAAAACCCAAAAAACCAAAAACCACAACAAGGCTAAATGTCAAATATAAATGAAGGCAAGAAACCTTTTCTCTAGGTCACCAGCTCCTCTGGCCAAGTACATTTATTCTCTCTTAGGGCCATAATCTGTTTCAAAACGCAATGATTTAGCCAATTCTTGTTCCAGTGCTGTGACCTCTTCTCCTGCAGGTGCAAACAGCTACCACAAGGAAAGGCTTGGCTGCCTTCTGCATGTTTTATCATCCTCTGCTGCAGTTTGTTCCCTTGTGGCAGAGGTGGCACAAGGAATCACTGCTAAAATGCTTTGGTGGTTTAAGCAAAGCTTCTGGCCTGGGCATGTTCTGCTGGGTGGGATTGGCAGGGGGAACCTGGACTGAGAGGGGACAGGGGCAAGGAAAAGCCCTTCAACTGTCCCAGCTAAATTCACCCCAACCATCCTTCATCTTCTCAACCATGCAGAGAAAAGCAAGATGTTTTGTTCCAATTTTTGCTTATTAGCAAATCTGAGTATTTTTTTTCTGTGGGAATATTTCATTTCCAGAAAAAAAAAAATTGTTATGAGGATTTCTCAGGACTAGCACAGACTTGGGCATAGAATGCCATGAGAGAAAGATATACTAATACCAGCTGAAAATAATTAGTACCCCAGTGGGTAGGGTGTTTGTGCTTTTACTGTATTTCTTCCTTTCTACAGTAGCTTTCATTTTGCAGTTTTTGTATGCTAACGATGCATATATTAAAGTCTATATGCCACAGTAAGGGTGTCCTAATTAAGCACACTGTATAAACTCTATGGTTCATTGAACAAGAAGAGATTTAGACAGTTCTCAAGAGCTCCAAGTGCTGAGTTGGATAAACTGGTTGACTTCAGGGGGGTGAAGAAGCTCATCCAGTCATGTTCTGGGGTGCCCAAGAGCAGCCAAGCCCCAAAGTGTGCTCAGACACAGAGACACAGGAATGTCAGAGCTGGGATGGATGTCTGGAGAGACCTTGTCCACCTTCAGAGCAGGGCCTTGGATTAATGCTGACCAGGGGCCATAACATCAGTCACTGCTGCTTGTGAACATGTTAAAGGATAACGTACAGCTCTGTAATGCATTAACAGTGAATAGGAATAATCTCCTCTTTGGAACTCTCCTGCATGCTTCAGTCTTAATTGCAAGCCTTCCTGCAGGAAGAATGGAAATAATTAAAGCTCGTTTGAGTCTACTTTTCTTCTGTTGCATAACAGAAACAAATACTGTTCTGTCAGTTCTGTGTTGTTACCAGAGTTCATTCAAAAATCAAAAGATGACAGTGTTATTGTTTTATCATTGTTTTTTATACTGTTTGATTATCTGATAATTTAGATAGAATGCAATTATCCTACAGCATTTAATTTTTTTCTCCCTACCCATTCTGGTCAATTATTTCAATTTTTTAGAGGATGCATGATGTGGGCCTTCCCTTTCTTTTCCATCTGTGCCGCGTTGTCCTTCAAGGACAAGTCAGGGAAAGCAGAACACAACAAAACATAGTGGCAGCATTACTTACTCTTTCCTCATCCTTTCATGTTGTCAGGTGACAGTGACTGACCCCAGACAGAAGAGTGGCTCTCCTGGGAGCGCCGTGCCTGGCTCAGAACCATGGACATAAAGGACAGGAGGCACCGCTCGCTGACGCGGGGCCGCTGCGGGAAGCAGTGCCGCTACACCAGCTCCTCCCTGGACAGCGAGGACTGCAGGGTGCCCACCCAGAAGTCCTACAGCTCCAGTGAGACTCTGAAGGCCTATGACCACGACACCAGGATGCACTATGGAAATCGAGTGTCCGACCTGGTGCACAGGGAGTCGGATGAGTTTCCAAGACAAGGTATGTTCACAGCCTGGTTCCTGTTACGGTGCTCCTCAGTCTGTTCCTTGTTAACGCATCTCAGTGCTACAAGGAGTTTTAATGAAAGAGCTCTAGGAGGATGGATATTATCTTAACGTTATTTCCGCTGTTTTGTGCTAAATTAGAAAGTTCTTTCTTTTCTCTGAGTTCTGGTACTTTTGAAATCCACAATTTGTAAATGAGGCAAACTGAGATTCACTTATCAAAACATCTGAAAGACACAAATGCCATGACCCTTAACCAGAGGATGTCTTTTGTGTAGATATTGGGGTTAGACAATGTGCTAGCTTGGTATTGTTTCCTAGGTTAATTTTGGAAATGATAATGGCATTTTCACCTAAATGTGTCTCTCTTTAACACAGAATCTGTACTGAAAAGACAACTAAAACACTGTTATGGTAAAAACCTGTATGGCCAATATACATTAATTATTCATCAGGTGCCTTGGAATTCCTTTCCTGTTGCTGAATGCTGGGTAATTGAACTGTGGGAATGGGAGTGGTGGTTCCTCTGACTTTATTTTGTCACTGCTCACCCATATTGCTCACACTTGATGTCATAAAAAATAAAAGGAGGAAACCTATCTAATTCCTTTTGTAATTGGCTGTAATTGAGCATTGTAGCCTACAACTAATGTTTGAAATAACCTGCTTGTATGAACTGGTAAGCTAGGGGAATTAACCTCTTATTTTATACAAGAGTCCTTGCTATGTCCAATAGATTAATGAATTAAGAATGTAAACGTTTTTACTTGAAAACCTGTAAATGTGCACTGTACTCACATAGTTTTACTCTCATTTGGGTATTTTCTTGTCTCAAGAACTTGTAAGACTCTGTGCTGAAACCATTAGTGAACATTGCTTCATAGGAACTGTGTTTAATCAGGTGGTTTACTTGCCCAAATATCCACATTAAATTGGCATTCAATCAATGGTTAGATATGGCATTTGAATTAAAAGCCTTGGTTTAGCGTCAGTTGAAGAATCAGTTATGGTTCATACCAGCTAAGATACAGGCAGGCTTGATGGACAAATGTATAGGTTTTGTGCTCCCTCAATGGAAGGCAAATCATCAGGTACATAATTTAAATGTACCATAATTTAAATGCAGAAACTCTTCTGTTTGTAGATGTGCTTGTTAACAGCATGTGATGGTTCTCTGCTGCACATTTCTAATGCTGAGGCTCAAGGAACGGGAAGTTACCACACTTCTAGTGGAAATCCTTCAGTGGAAGGTCATTCCCATACCTGGTATCATGTCACACATCTTGTTTAAAACGTTCTGACAGCACTCAGTGTCTGCCTTCCCCTTTCAATCAAACAATCTACTAATTAGCGTTAATAATTAAGCCCTTGTCTAATCCCTTGTTTCTCTCACATTTGTCTGCAGACGTGTGGGAGTGTTTGCATTGTGCTTGGTCTGTCAAACACCCAGTTCTGTTTTCTGGGATGATCTCTGATCTTGGAGGGTCTTTCTTTGCTTAGAGGTGTTTACCTAAGATAAAACATCAAAGTGCAACTCGAACTGCTGAGCTGCTGCAGCCATTTTCACTGCAGTTTGTTCTGCTTTACTGTACAGGAGTCATCTAAATATTACTTTTTCCTATCAGGATGATTGATGCTTCAGCTCAAGTGTCTCATTTTAGTTTGCAGGTCATTATTCAGCATTTCATAATGGTCTTTTTCTCTTGATTACTGATTTGACAACTTTTCATCCTCCCCCTGCTCTTAATGTGTTCTTCTCTGCCCTCTTTACAAAGGGGAATGCAAATTGTTGGTAACTGAAATTGAAACACTCAAATTTTTTTTATTATTGTTATTTTTTCCCCTACTAGTTTGTGTTGTTATGTCTAAATAAATAGTGTTTATTCTAGAGAGCCAAAGTAATTTTTTTGTTAGATAATGAGCAGCAACTCCTTATTTTCCTGCTTTTGTTAAGTTTAGAAAGCAATTTTTTTTTTAGAAAATAAGTCTGTGTGATGATTCTTTGCATTTGAAAGCTGGATATCTTTCTGATTTAACAGTTTTACTGGCATGAAATTCAAGAAAATATTACAGATAGATCTAGATTAAGATTTTGTAGCAGTTCTCACTTTCTATATTAACATTAGATGGATAAAGATGTGGTTCATATAGTAGTATGTTCTGCTCATTACATCTTGTGCATACAGTTTCCAGCTGCAGACATCTAGGAATTTATACATTTAAATTTATTCTAACTTTGAGTGGGTGTTGTGATGGGATTAAATTCTGTGGGAAATAAACATGCTTAAAGTAATCTTTAGAGATTTTTTGTTCTTCTATTAGAAAAAAGCTTGAATTTTTTTAAAAGGAAATGCAGATGTTTTCCTCAGTATTTTGTTTCTTCTATTAGAAAAGCTAAATACTTTTGCAAAATATTTGGTTTGACCATGACACTGGAACTCTTCATGGCTGTGTTGAGCTGCCTGTTGTACGGTACTGGGTTTGGAAAATCAGTTAAGATAAAGTTGCACTCATTCTAGTTTTTTTTTATCATGGTTTGTCGGCAAAATACTAATAACAAAGTATATTCAGAGCTCAAAAGTCTGAAACAGTGCTTGCTGGGTTGTTTTAATACTTTCCTGAGAGGAATGAAGGTTGTTCAGACTTAAAAGATTTTAACTAGTCACAGTGACTGATGGGCTGCTACTCAGAGGCCTCAGCTGCTCTTACAGGTGCCTGGGCTTACCAGGCTTTGTCTCACTGCTCATGCTCCCAATAACACCAAAACGAGATCTTTGTTCATCTTGTCATCAAACCTGAGTCATCCTCAACTCTTCTGTTAAAATTAATGTATCCTTTCCAAATCCAACTGAGTTTTGGCAATTACAATTTTAATACTTCTCTACAGGACCTGTGACCTTTTGAAAATGAAATGTTTTGATAGATTTGGATTAAATACATTAAATAAAACTTCTTTCATGTATTCTGCCTAGAGTGAGAGCACATTTGTAGTTTTCCTTTGTCATGCAATATTTTTGAGTGGCATTCTGCAATCATGATTTTCATTATATCTGTACAGTTACATAACCAAAATTTGGGGTAGAGGCAAGGTGGCAGATTCTTTAACATTAAATCAGGTGTAGGGTGGTTTGTGTAGGAAAAGGCCTCAAGGCAGCTCTCCTCTCCTAGCCAGTACCTGTGGAACCTCCACTTCTCCTGAATTAGGGCTTTGGATTTAATGGTGACCTGACAGAAACACGATCCCAGTGTAAAATATGTATTAGGGTGAAACAACTGCCTTCAATTTCTCCTGTCTAGAAAGCATGGCCTTATTGAGAAATAAGAAAAATATAATTTGTGTACCCTATTTAATAATGGAAAGATGCTGAATAAAGCCTCCCTCTCTTATGCTCTCCCTCCCCAAATCATAAAAGATTAGAAGATGATATTAAGTGATTTAAAACCCTGAAAGCACTTTTCATTTGTGCCTTCATGTGTGTTGAAGTTGTTAATAATGGAGCAATGTAGCAGCATTACTCGACTAGCAAATAAATAAAAGTACAAACATTTAGAGCAGCCTTCTCTCAGGCTGCTTTTAAGAGAGGAAAAGGTAAGAAAGTCGAATCCACACATAACTTTCCTCCTCTGATTTATACTCTAATATCAGTCAAGTGCCCTTTTGAGCTGTAATAGCAAAATTATCTGATAGACAGGAATTAAACCAAAACTTTGTGTACATTAGATCTGAGTTGCAATAAAAAACAGAAGAAAATGCATTTAGAAGTGGATTTTCAGGGAGACATCATGGCACTGACCTTCAGTCTTTGGGGTGCTTTCTTTTAAATATGCACAAATTGTTTTCTCTTGGTATTTTGGGTATTTTTTTGTTGTTGTTGTTTTGGTTTGTAATGTTTGGGGTTTAGTTTTGTTTGTTTGTTTTGTTTTGATTTCTTTTTTTTTCCTTCTGAGCAGCAAGCTCTCTGGTTCGCAAGTGGCAGTTTAAATCAGTTGTGATAATCCCTTCCTTTTCACTTTCCTTACGTTCCCCTCCCATCCTATTTTCTTGGCATTTCACCATTTTCTGTCTTCATCCATTGGGAGTCCCTGTGCTGGGCATGCTGGGGTGCTCAGATCTCCTGGGCTGAGCACTGGGAGTCAGAGTCTGACCTGGTCTGAGCAAAGCTTCATCTTCATCCCTTCCCGCCTGCTGGACCAATTGAGCAGATCTGATGGGAACTCCAGTAATAATTAATAACACCAGTGCTGGAAAACCCAGTACTATTCTAATATTAATATGTATTTGTAGAATAAACAACAGCTAGACATAATCTGAGAATTCTCTGTACACACACTTAGGGAATAACTTTTCTCTCTGTTTCTCTCAGGGAATAACTTTTTATTCTCAGCAGTTTCCCACAACTGATCATTATTAAAAATCAGCATTTGTTTACAGTTTAAATGAGAGACTCGGAATGCAGGGATTTCTGATGCAAGTTCATAAGTTTATATAGACTTATGCTCCTTTTCTCCTCTTTTTTTGCTCCGTTCTTTAGTTTTCAAAAAAGAACTTCTATTTTTACTGCTTCTGTACTGGACTCCTCATTAGCTGATGATTAATTTCAACTAGGTTCTATTTTTAAAAGCCATTTACAAAGTTACATGCACATTGTGTAAATCACATATAAAAGGATAATTTCTAAAAACTAGATATTATCAACATGTAGTAAGCACACATTGAATAAAAGAAAAAAAATAAAAACCTCAGGTCTACCCTAAAATAGGTTTAGTAACCATTTTCATGCAAACACCTTTTCAGTAGAACTTGAAAATTAGTAGGAAATATGATTTCTATACTTCATAGTTTCAAATTTCTACCAAGCAAAAGATCTTGTGCCTCAATGAAAGTCATGTTTGATCGTCTTGTAGTGCTGGTGCCTGACTGGGTGTTGAACAAAACCTTCCCTTGGTGTATTGTTTTCCACCTCATCTCTTTCCTCTGCTATGTAATAGAATTCT